TTCAGCAGAATCAGTTTCATGAGTATTTTCTATGATTTTTTAGTTTAGACGAATTATTTTTATATTCTTTAATCTCCAAAAAGTTTAGAAGATTAAAAAATTTTGTTAAACATACATTAATTATATTAAGGCTAGTAAATTGAAGCTGTTATCAAAATTAATTTGAAATAAATAATGATTTAATTACATCATATAATTTATATTTGAATCATAATCAAATATCTAAGTTAAAATTTTAGTAATGCAAAAAGTATAAATTCTATAAAAAATAAAAAAGTTCTCTGATTATATACGTTTAATATGTTTAACCTTTTTGTATTTTGAACATTTCGAGGCAATAATACGTGTTTTATGATTCGTATATTTACCTTATGTTATTTTAAAAGTAAAATATGTACCCAAGGAAATATAATGCAATTAATTATAACTGAATTGGGACAGTAATTTTCATAGTTTTGAAATAAAAATGTATAGCAATCTATTTTTGTAAATTTTCTAATACATACAATATATAAATTCTTTGCAATATAGAGAAATATTATGTAGCAACTAACACACACTTTGATATAAATTTCAGATTTTACTCCTTCTCGTTGTTCGTGAGGCATTGATACGGCGTAATGCAACAGCAGAAATAGTAAGTTCTTCATGTTACACAGAGAGGTATGCCTATGTAGAAGATTTACGTGCCTACATGAGATGAAGACTATATCGACCTCAATGAGAGAGGTACGTGCGGTATACACTAGTTACGTTCCTGACTCTTTCTAGGTCTTGTCCTGTCCTCCACCTACAACGAAGGACGGAGGACAGTATTGATTAAATTCACCGACGGCCATTTTGTTCCTGCACCCTATTGGCTGCCGTCCATTTTGTCCTTTCAACCCCTCCGTCGTTCTAGCCGTAATCGCCTCTTCCTCTTTCAATATTCTCCTCTCTGTTTACCTACCTGTTCGCGTTCTTCGCCCTGGATCACCCCAGTCGGCGAAAGACGCAAGCGTCGCGACATTTTTTTCTGAAGAAAAATCGGAGACCATCAGAGCAATTAGATTCTTTTATGGTAGTCCGTTGCACACTCTAATGAGCATTCTATTTCTGTTCTAGATATATTTTAATGATATAGACTTGGATATAGATTTCGAATTTAACTCTTACAGCATTCTTCGGCATTTTTCTTAAATCGATGTAACATGCCGATTATTATTTTAGATTTACTTTATAATAAAATTATGAAAAAAGGAATATTTATATTTATTGATGTTGTATTTGACTTGCAGTTAATTTCCAATCTTTATCAAAAAACGAGCTGTAGCTACATGACGATACTGTTTTTCTATTGCCTCCTTTAGGAAGTAGTTACAATGTACATGGTTAGCTGGAATTGATTAACGTTGAAGTAGCTAATACTTGCTATTTATTTCTTGATATTATGAATTTATACATATATATGTCTATAATTTTGATATCACATTTTCATGAAAAAATAATATTTAATATAGAATAGATATTTAATTTAGAAAGCATTGCACACATAAAATAAAAAGAAACGTGAAAAGTAGTATGCACTATAATATGCACTAGAACACAAATTATTAAATTTTAAAAGATTTAAGAAGTGATCTCATATTAAAGTTTAATGGTAATATTATGTCTTTCATTTTATCTTTAATTTGAATAGTGAATTTTTTAAGGAGAGGCAATCATTACTGTTATTTCAATCGAATATTCAATGAGTTTACTTATTAGTACGGGTTTGTAATTATATATTCTGTATATTTAATATTTTATCGAGCACTTTCAAGCACAGAAAGTTCTAAAGAATCGTCATACTTTTGTCAATATAGATATATTTTGAAATTTATAAATAACGACATTCCATTCCTTAGAATCTTCTCCAACTTTAATCTCTCTCCACATTTCCGCGCATCAAAGATCACGACATCAAGATTTTCGTTTCTCTATTGCCGACACTCTTGAGATTCTTCCTATCTCAACAATTTTCTGAGATAGCGAATTGAATATAAACATACAAAAATATCTCGGTAGTGGATACGTTCCGCCAAGAAAATCGTACGCGGCTAGGATAAACAAAAAGAAATCTGAAAACAAAAAACAAACAAGAAGAGAAATTGGCATATCTGCTCTCTTTTTCTCTCTTTCTCTCTCTCTGTCTATTTCTTTCACCCTCTTTTTCTCTCTGACGTCAAAAGTGACGTTCGTTTCGGGATTGGTGGTACGGCGACACGCCCTGCTATCCACCACTGTATTTCACCCTTCTATTTCATCCCCCTATATAACTCCCACCAGTTGCGACTGGACACGGCCACGCCTACGTAAAAGCACCCCCATTGGAGAGGGTGATTGCGTAGGTTGTGCTGAAATGAAACTGGGTCAGGCAGACTCGAGGCAGGCCGAGTCAGGCCGAAGCTCGAGAATCGTCCAGGCGTTTTCGGCACGAAGCAGTCCCTTGGAAACCACCCTGAAGCCCGTCGTTGCTGCGCCACTTCGTCGGCAT